ACAGCCTCGACTCATCACGGCACGACACGCGGAAATTCAATCTTAGGACATGCTATATAGCGGAAGAGTCCGGTTGACTCCATTTACCCCAGTCTCGCTGGCACAGCTTCGCTCGATCAACGCATTACGCCTCATGGACTGTACAACAAACCGGAAGTGACCGCTCATGTCCCGAAGTTGACTATTGAATGATTGCAGTGTGATGAGCGGATCCAACGAGAGAAACAGTCGCCATCAATCTAGTCGGAAAATGGATCGATGAAGGCAGCACTGCTCAACCATGTGAACGTGACACGACTTCCGACTTTCTTACACCTCTTCGAAGACTGAAAAAGTTGTACATGAGTGCACGCATGATTCGCACAGTAGCGAACGGGGAGAGAACGTGGATGCACGTCTTCAAAGCTAACGCGGATACACAAGCGCGAGCTTGTCCCAAAACCAAAAGCCGTGTTTGCAGACCGGCATGAACTTCAATTTCCAATTACAATGATCCTGCTGTTTTGCACCTTTGCAGGGAATCAGCTAATAGTAGCTGTATCTGCTGCTAGAATCTCATACAATAAGAAGATCGACAGACTACCAACTTGGATGGCTTTGGTGAACGGACAATTGGGACCATAAACATTACATTTTTGTGTGCTCTGTTTTAATTTCTTTGGCTACGGTTCGATGCTTACTCAATTTTGTACAGGTTTGCGTCTACCCTAGCTTCTATGCAACACTGGGGCACCCGGTGTGGGCGTGGCTAGAACGCGAAGTAGTGGTCGGCTGCGTAGCCCATCTTTTCGAGATTGGGTATGCACGCGAACTTGATCATCCCCGGTGGCCCGCACATGCACGCGATCGACTCCTCGTCTGCGGGGAACAGGTGGTCCCGCATCATGGCCTCGTTGATGTGGCCCGTGCTGTAGGCCCACCCCGGCTCGGAGCGGTCCACGGTGTACCAGATCTGGAACCGGTCCGGGTTGGCGGCGGCTAGCGCCTCCATCTCTTCCCGCAG